GCCGACCGTTTCGCATCAACCTCGCGGCCATGGCAGGCGGCCGGCTCCGCTCGCCAACGTGACGGGGAGAAACGGAATCCTTCGATTGAATCGCAACCCCTCCCCCTCCATCCCCCGTCGATCCGTGACAATTCAAACGAATCGCTCCCGGTTGATGGCCTTAATCGTTACCATTACAAAACGTTCGTCATGGGCGTACAAACGATGTAAACCACATGTGACTTTCGTGTGGCCACCCCCCACTCTGACCCCCCCCCCCCCATACCCTTCACCGCCCGCTGTGAAAACAGACTCCGCTCCTATGTGCCGTAGCAGGAGCAGCAGTGGCAGCGTCCAGGCCCTGCTGCAGCCTCTGCCTCCTCTCACCTCTCTTGAACCCTCTGCTCCTGATTCTCCGTTCATTTCCAATCCTTTTCCTCTTACAAACATCCCCTGTACATTAAAGTCTCCATCCTTAAACCTCCATCTGTTACTCTCTTGAGTGCCTCACCTCTTCTCCATTTGCCCATTCCATTCCTCTCCCCTCGCCTCTCAACTTTGTCCCGTCCCTCCCCTGTGATGCTTTCGTGATGCCCACGTGCCCTCTGTTACGGTATCTCATTCCTCGGCCCTTGCACACTGCCCGATGCCATCTAAATCACTGGGTTTTTTTGTAACCGTAATAGGTTTTTTGGGGGTTAGATCGCGTAAATATTTAAATGTGTCGTTAAACCCGCCACCACCCGACACAGCCAACTAGTAAGGGTTGTCACGTGAACTGAACGTGGCCAATTCGTCACTAGTACAGCACGCCAGCTGTGTGTTGGAGAGCCAAGCCACAACATTTACAATCTGAGTACGACGTTTCGCCAGTAATTATAACTATATTTATCAGGCGACAGCCAGATTTGTGGAGAAGTCTACCTGTTTCGTTCCTTATATAGAGGCGTAGATGTGGTGACCACGCTTCTGCGCTCTTGCGAAAAGTGTGGGAGGGGGGGTGGATTAATGAGTCAACGTACATTATCCTATCAATTGTGTATTAAAATAGCCGTACCAACGGTAATCCCTATTGAAGTATGGTGGCCTGTAAAGGCAAGCATTTAAACAATGTTTTATTTGATGATTCGCTTCCACGCAGCACTAAGTCGGTAGCTATCTGAACGGTTAAAATTATTCTTATTTCTTTCAATTTCTATAATCAGTATTGGCCAGTAGTAGCTAGTTTTGTACAGAAATTCAACATTATCAAAATCAATTGTGTCCTTGTTGGCACGCGTGTTCTGCTAATGCTGACAGTCGTATTTGGGAGTATTGAATATTTATTTGATGTGCTTTTAGTCTCGTGCTGATCATTCGTTCTGTTTGCCCAACATAGCATTTGCCACAAATGCAGTTAATCCTGTACACACCTTCTGTTGATAGCTTCGGTAATAAATATTTTGTACCAGATATTAATTTCTGTATTTTATGTACCGTGCCAAAATCTGACTTGGATGTGTTGTTTTTCCAAACATCTGGCGAGTTTCATAATTAAGGTTTTTGGGTTAGATCGCGTTATATATCAATGTGTCGTAACCCTCCACCACCCGACACGGCCAAACAGTAAAAAATGTGACATGTTTACAAAAGACAAATAGTTCACTACTTTAGCCCACCGGTGTGTTGTAGAGTGAATCAATATCATTAAAAATTTTGAGTACGACGTTTCGCTAGAAATTACATCCAGCATCATCGGGCAATTTGCCAGAATGGTGAGGCCCTCCACTTGTTCCCGGTCCTAAATAGAGCAGCAGGGTGACGTCATCTTTTAACTCAATCTGGTGCAGTGATAAGGCAGAGAGAGGGAGGGTATTGTAATTATAAAATAGATTGGTAATCATTCCATTGTTATTCGTTGGTATTTGTTTCCCCTATAAGGAATTGTAATATATATTTTATTCAATAATGTGCTTCCAGGCCGCACTAAGCCTGTAGCTGTCAGAGCGATTAAAGTTATTTGTATTTCTCTCAATTTCAATGGATTTCCATCATTAGACCTCCTTTGCCAGTACCAAAATATTTGCATGTTTGCATTTTGACCACAAGTATTGTGGTTAATGCACACATGATTGCTTGTAAAAAGGTTTCAGTTTTGTTGCCAGAAAAAAGGGGAAAAACCCTATTATTATTATTATTTCAATGGATTCTCTTAGTCTTGGCCAGTAATAATTAGTTTTACACAACACTTCAACGTTATCAAAATCAATTGATTGGCAGAGCATACTTGTCATGCCGACAGTTTTGTTTGAGATCATTTAATATTTTCTTGGTGTTCTTTTAGTCTTACGCTGATGTTACGTCACGTATGACCAATATAGCATCTGCCACATAAACAATTAATCCAATATACACCTTCTGTTAGTAATTTAGGCAATTCGCCTTTAGTGCAAGATACTAGTTTTTTTAATTTTGTGTACTGTACCAAATCTTACTTTAATGTTTTGCTTTTGCAAAACACGGGCTAATTCGTCAGTTACTCCTGAGATATACGGTATTTTAATTGTTTGAACAATATGATCGCTTTCAGCAGTGTTACATTGCGTTCGTGATTTGGCATTCAGTGCAATGTTAATTCGAGCATTATCGTAGCCATTCTGTCGAATAGCTTCTTTAACATGTTTGATCTCTCTCACTAGACTTTAACCATCTGAAACTGTTTTAGGCCGATGTATGAGCGTCTTGATAAGAGAGGATTTCTGAGCTGGGTGATGTGTGATCTGCATTCAGATAGGCACCAGTGTGCGTTTGCTTTCGGTAAATGCCGTGTTATTTTGCCATTTAGACCATGTCCAAGCAAAATATCTAGGAACGGGAGTGTTATTCACCTCCATTTCCATGGTGAACTGGATGGCAGGGTTTTGTGCATTGAGATGATTTAGAAAATCATGAAGTGCACCATTACCATGTGGCCAGACAACCAAAGTGTCATCAACATATCTAAACCAAAAATATGGTTTTAATGTGCTCGAGGGAAGTGCTTTTGTTTCAAAGTTTTCCATGTACAGATTTGCTATAGCAGGACATAAAGGAGAGCCCATTGGTGGCGTCTTCCTTTTGTTTAAAGAAATCACCTCTCCATAAGAAGTGTTATTTAAACAATGATCAGCTAGTTTCGGGTTATCTTTTGGTAAACCTGTATTCTTTACTAGTGTAGAGGAGTAGTGGAGGACGTCATGTCACTCAGGGGGGGTGAAAAGGGATGACGTCAGAGGTTACGGGGGATATATAAGGGAGAACCCGTGACGTAGAGGTCGTCGCGAAGGGCCAGGAACGGAGAGAGTTAGGGAGTCGGGGTCGAGGGTAGGGGGAATTAGCGCCAGGCTAGGGTGACTTCACCCGGCCGACCGAGTTGGATGATCCCTCGGTCGGTGCTGGAGGGGGGAGATCATGTATAGCCTGGGTGGAGCTAGGGACCTCCCAGTATCCTTTCCCCTGGGGAGATATTAAGGTTGTTACCTATTAGGCGTAAGCCTTTAATAAGTTACCGGCAGTAGCCCTTAATAAACCTTGGCATCAGCCCCGACAAAAGAACCGTGTCAGCGTCGTCAGTTGCACCTCAACACTAGTGTATCGAGTAATTTAAGCGACTCGTTCACTGGAACCTTAGTGAATAGAGAAATCACATCAAAACGTACCAGAATATCACTTGTGTTACGTTTGATATCTTTAGTCAGATTCACAAGATGTTCTGATTTTTTTATAAAGATGTCCTACCGATGTAGGGCTGTATTTGTTTAGTTATATATTTTGCTAATTTATGTGGCAGAGCCAATTGTACTATGGGTCGTAAGGGGATGCCGATTTTATGAACCTTTGGTAGCCCATACAATCTCAGTGGTTTTGAGGCCCTTGGCTTAATTTGGTATTGCTCATTCTTAGGGAATAATGCATTTGCAATGATTGCAGTAGTCTTACGTTCTAAAGAATTAGTTGGATATCGTTTAATTTTAATGTAGGTACTTTCGTCTAGTAAATCTTTCATTTTATAATCATAATCGGCTGGTGATATCACTACAGTAGTGCGGCCTCTATCAGCTGCCAGGATTTGAATATCTTTATGTAATCGGAGCTCTCTTAAGGCCTTTGGTTCGTTCAAGCTAATATTTACTTTTGGAACTTTGATATTCTCAATTATGTTGGCAACCTCGTGTCTAGTCATCTCTGCCTCATTATGTGGAAGGAGTCTTACTGCTGATTCTACCTCAGCAATTATCCCATCCACTGGAATTGTCCGTGGGGTAACGGCAAAGTTAAGGCCTTCAGAAAGGACGGAAATCATGTCACTGGTTAAAACAGTGTTAGTTAAGTTCATTAGGGTTTTGTTTTTAAATTGTTCGTTTTTAGTAGGGAATTGTTTATTATAAAGCCTAGATAATGTATTCATTTGGCTAGTTTTTGTTAGATTAAACACATTATCAGCCGATTGTTGTTACAGTATCGATTATATTCCAATAATGCATGGATACACTATTGCTTATATCTAAGTGCAACTGCCTTAGAGATTCCGAAATGTAAGACAATTCACTCCTGTTGTGCTGTATTCTCTCTATTAATAATAATTCGCTAGCTTTGTGTGGCTAGTTTATCAGTTGCTCCCGCAATGTACAGTATTGTGATCATTGTATTCACTTGGGCAGTTTTGGCATTCAATGCCCCTGTTGATTTGTGCATCATTGTAACCGTTCATTTGCAGCGCTTCTTTAACATGTTTAATTTCACTTCTCACACTCACCATCTGACACTTTATTAGCTCGATGAATGAGCCTCTTCATAAGAGCAGATTTCTGTGCGGGGTGATGGTGTGACTCTGTATTCAGATAGGCATCAGTATGCATTTTCTGTTGGTAGACGCTGTGTTATTTTACCGTTTCGACCCCGTCCGAGCAGAATATCCAGAAATGGTAGAGTTCTGTCAGCTTCCACTTCCTTGGTGAACTGAATGGATGGGTTTTGCGAGTTGAGATGATTTAGAAATGTGTTAAGTGTATCTTTGCCGTGTGGCCGGACCACCAATGTGTCATCCACATATCTAAAGCAAGCAGAGGGTTTTAGTGTGCTTTAAGATATTGCTTTTGTTGCAAAATATTCCATGTACAAATTCGCTATCCGTTGCTCCTTTTTGAAACCGCTTTTTCAACTTTGTAAGGAGCCTTGAGCTCAGGCACTCTATAAATATAAACTAAGATAAGATTTTTCCATTCTTTATGGTCTCTCTTCCCCGTCCCGATAAATTGTCCCATCCATTATATCCTTGACTCTACTCCCCTTCCTGTGGTGTAGCCGCCGGGAAAAAGTTGCAAGTGCTTTTTTTTTTTAAGCACAGAAATGCCGATCCAACTACACGTTGTCCGCAAACGTTTCATGCACTGTCAAAATTCTAATTGTGTGGCAATCTGGGCCAAGTCAACACAACTGCACACACACGCGTGCACACACGCACACACATGCGCAGACACACGTGCGTACACACACGCGCATGCGGGAGCGTACGAGTCCAGTCCCACTAAACCTCCACGGTGCAGGCACAAATCCCATCATGCCTTGCGTGCACCTCCCATTAATGCCTTGCGTGCATGCCGTGTAACAGCCGCATTGAATGAGCAACGCTCTCAGTGTTGTCCAGACCGCCAACTCAAGGGCTGAATGTGCGACCCCCGTGATCACTGTTTAGGCCAGCCACATCTACAAGGTGGAAAAATGTGGCCGTCCCAACATGCTGCTCAGCGGAACAGAGACCCAATAGGAAGCATTGAAAACAGAGAGGGCTGCGAACCGGCTCCGTCCTAACTAGGTTCGGGATGGCCACACTCTTGGGATGGCTGGGCGGGCGTTTCATAGGCTACGGAAACCACTTTGGATCCGGGAGCTGGACACTAAGCAGCTGGAAAGGAATTCGCTGACATTTGAGCACGTATGCCAGAGACATTTTCTGTGAATTTAGTGACAAGGCAGGAAAGGCAATGCACACGTCCGTAAGTGGTGCAAACGGGAATCAGGAAAGTGAAGGTTGCGCTGCAGTACATGTGTGCAGGATGTTAGAGGGCCGATTACCGTGACCTGCGATGGAGTGGTCTCCACGAGTCCGGTGATCTAGGGGAGGAAAACACCGAAAATCAAATGGTGGGATACTGTTGTCAGGTGCACATCTATGGGTCTCTGTGTGAGTCTGTGGGTCTCGATGAGTCTGTGGTTTTCTGTGTGAGCATGTGTGGGTCTCGGTGTAAGTCTGTGGATCTCGGTGTGAGTCTGTGGGTCTCGGTGTGAGTCTGTGGGTCTCGGTGTGAGTCTGTGGGTCCCGGTGTGAGTCTATGGGTCTCGATGAGTCTGTGGCTCTCTGTTTGAGTCTGTAGGTCTCGGTGTGAGACTGCGTTTTTCTATGCAAGTTTGTGGGTGTCTGCGTGAGAGTGTGGGTCACTTCTAAGAGTCTTCGAGCGTATTTCCAGGACACCGTTAAGTGCAGAGCTTGGGAGGTCGCTCTGCGCGTACTGTGCAGAAGCAGTGGGTAGAAAGCATTGGTTGCAAGGTGTGGTGGTCACATGAATGGCTTTGAACCCCAGGGTTTGGCGGAGTAGGTGGGTGGGTAGGCGTTGAGCTCTGGGTTGGCGGTGGCGACCGATTCCCAGAATCGATTCTCAGAATCGGCCGCGGGCGAACGCGGCGATCACGTCCAGGGCGGCGGCGTCGAAGCCGCACACGTGAAGCACGCCGGCGTCGTCGGCGTCGCCGGCGGCCACCGCCACGTCGCGGGTGAGGGTGCACACGACCAGCCTCGATGCCAACCCCGTCTCCTACGGCCGCCGCGGCACCGGGGAGGGTAGCGGGCAGTCGAGAGTCGTCCGCTAACGGCTAACGAGCGACGCCCACCCAGGGGCGTTCGTACACTTATGCTATCTGTTAAAATGATTTTAACCGGGTGTAAGGCCCCCACTGAGCTGCTTAGCTCTTTTCCAGAAGTGACGTGGCTGTCGCAAACGATAGCACGACGAAGTGGCGCATCGTCGCCGTCGTGCGGGAATTTGCAGCAGCAGCCAAAAGACTCTGGACGCGTGTTTATAAACGTGGTGGGGAAAGAAAAAAAAATCAGAGGACTCGAAGGAAAAATCCACGCGACCACGGGCAGAACATGCAAACTATATACAGCAGGCATCAGCGTCACGATCGAACGCACGGCCTCCTGTACACCGGGCAAGGTAGTTAACATCCCGCCATCACGGACTGTTCATTGTCACGCGCGGCGTGTCGGCCAGCAAGACGCATGCCATCCGCCGCAACTTTCCGGTGGTGGGTTCTGGAATAATGCCACACAGCGAGTTGATTTTTATTTAACGATGTGAGAGCTCAAGAGACCAGGTTGAGGCCTCGTTTGCAACAGTGAGCTGGGGCATTGCGCACAGCGTGATCCCAACAAGGGTGAAAGTAGGGGCAAGAGTTAACAAGAGATAACATGACGATACCATGAGGGGTGATGGAGATTACATTTAGCCAGTTTTTTTGTTTATTGGCATGAGAACAGTTAACGCTAATTAGTGGCTATCTAATAACGGACAAACCCTTCAATAATCCAAAAATATTACTCCTAATATAAACCTGTTCGCATTAAAAGTAAAATGTTAACATGTTGAGGGCAGAGGAGCGACGCTCACAACAACGAGCGGAGGGCCGGGCGGCTAAACCACAGCGAGTTGGCACAGCACGGGGCACAGGTGGTTTATCGGCCAGTCATCTCAGTCAATCCATGGCACCTACTGGGTCTGTCCCGTGCCCTCCTGGCGTGCATTCGACACTTCACGTGGCCTTAAAGTGCAAATAGCCTGGCACAAGCGCCGTGGTGATGTTACCGCCACTTTGTGGCGAATAGCGGCTGTTGTTGTGGGAATATCTGGTGCGGTAAGAAAAAGGACACGGGGCATTGCCGAGCGGCGATGCCAGCGTCACCGAATAATGTCGTCTCTTTCAGTAGGCCTGAGCGGCGCACGGGGTGGGGGGGGGGGGGAAATTAGTGGGGGGGGGGGGGTGGGGGGGGGTCGGGGGTCGAACCTTGCGGTATTCCTGCAGGGCGGCGGTCGGGTCGACGGCTCCCCAGGTGGCCTTGCTGTCGGTGAGAACCAGGAAGACGTCGACGGGCGTCCCCGTGTCACGCGCCCACACCAGGGGCTGTGCGCAGTCCGTCACACCACGCGGGACCTGCCCAAACGCCGAGGCGGGCACCACGGCGGCTCGGAGATGTTAACTACCTCGCCTGGTATGCGGGAGGGCCGTGGGGTCGATCCCGACCCTGACGCCACGGTGGCTAGGAGATGTCAACTATCTCGCCTGGTACACAGGAGGTCGTGGGGTCTATCCCGACCCTGACGCCACGGTGGCTAGGAGATGTCAACTATCTCGCCTGGTATACAGGAGGTCGTGGGGTCTATCCCGACCCTGACACCACGGTGGCTAGGAGATGTTAACTACCTCGCCTGGTATGCGGGAGGGCCGTGGGGTCGATCCCGACCCTGACGCCACGGTGGCTAGGAGATGTTAACTACCTCGCCTGGTATGCGGGAGGGCCGTGGGGTCGATCCCGACCCTGACGCCACGGTGGCTAGGAGATGTTAACTACCTCGCCTGGTATGCGGGAGGGCCGTGGGGTCGATCCCGACCCTGACGCCACGGTGGCTAGGAGATGTCAACTATCTTGCCTGGTACACAGGAGGTCGTGGGGTCTATCCCGACCCTGACACCACGGCGGCTAGGATATGTTAACTACCTCGCCTGGTATGCGGGAGGGCCGTGGGGTCGATCCCGACCCTGACGCCACGGTGGCTAGGAGATGTCAACTATCTCGCCTGGTATACAGGAGGTCGTGGGGTCTATCCCGACCCTGACACCACGGTGGCTAGGAGATGTTAACTACCTCGCCTGGTATGCGGGAAGGTCGTGGGTTCGATCCCAACCCTGACGCCTGCTGCTGTGTTTTTTGCATGCACTGGAAGATGCCGTCGCATGGCTCTGCGGCTACGTGGGCTCGCGTCCACTCACGTAGCATTGACACGCGTACGTGTACATTTTAATCATTCGTTTTCTCGTGTATCTGGTGCTCTGTGTAAAAGTTACATGTAAAAGCATTCAGTTTAATGCGTAGGCTTTAAACACGTAGGCTTTCGCGACCAATATCCATAATACAACATTTTTTGGGGTTAGATCGCCTAAATATATAAAAGCATTTGCATCTCTCTCTCCCCATGGTCGGATGGATTTTTCTCCATGTCCTCCGGTTTTTCCCTCCACACTGGGAATCAACGTCACGTGTTCAGAGCATTTGGCTGCTGATGTAAATTTCCGCGTGATAAGGCACTTCGTTGAGCTATCATTTGTGGCCAGGTAACTTTTGAAAAAGACCTCAATAGGTCAGTGGGCACTTACCTGGTAAATAAACAAAAATGTTTAAATAATTTATTTTACTCGTAGTAATAATAATGATAGTTTGCACTTATTAAGCGCCTTTCACCGTTGCCAGGAAAGCGGAGATCAATGCGTTTTAGGAACCATTATGGAAAACAGTCTACTCCACGATTGGGCTTTTAACCCAGGTGAGGAGCTTTAGCCACAGCACAGAGAGGTGGCAAGGTGCGCACAGCAAATGAGCGGAGCGCCGGGCGGCTACAGCGCAGCGAGTTGCCACAGAGCGCGGCACGGGTGGCGCATCTGCCGGTCATCTCGGTCAGTCAACCTATAGGCCCTGGGTCTGGCCAGTGACCTCCTTTCAGCCATGCTTTGAGTGGTAGCCTCAAAAGTGCAGGTGCTGCCGGCGAAGTCGCCGCCATTGACAGTCATTTGCCGGAGAGAGCGGTGGTGCAGCCAGCGGTTAGGGCGCCGCGCTACGAGCCCGGCGATCCGAGTTCGACTCCCGCTCAAGGCCAACACCGGTGACAATTATTTGAACCGGTCCTAGGTTGCCTCAGCCTCAAATGAGTACATGGTGAGGTGTGTAGTAAACATCGTCACCGGGGAGACAAAGGCGACCGGGTGTGGTGCTGGCCACCCACTCCCTCGTGCGCCGTGTCGGCCTTCATAGATGCTACTCGCTAACAGCACTTTCCCCAACAAGTCTGCTAAGGCTACACGGGGGCGGAGATCTTTATCTTTTTTTGCAGTGGTTTAACGTCACCGTGCTAGGAACCCGACAGCCAGAGTTCAACTCTCGGCCGCTGTTAACGCATCGTTGGCAAGCAGCATCTCGTTTTGACCATGGGCCCCCCGTTGACTCAAGTCTTTTCTTTCTTTAAAGCGCACCTAGCCTGGCACAAGCACTGCGTGGGCAGCGGCACCGTCACCTAGCGGCGAACGGCCGTTGCCGCTGTTTTTAGCAGGAGACGTCCGGCGCCCACCTGGTCCATGATCCTCAGCACCTGGTCGAGCCGTAGGGTGGGGTCGATGGGCAGGGGGAGGAGCGTGTGCGAGAACGCCAGCAAGGTGGCGCTCGGCTCCGTGTTGACGATCACCTGCAATCCCGCATGCGCGCGGACGCAAGCTGAAGCGACGTAGTGCCCCGCCGTACATAGGCAGCCGTGCTAATCGGAGGTGCGGGGGGAAGCGCAACAAACTGAAGACGACACAACCGGACGACAAAAGTACATGCTGAACCAGGGGTGGGCAGATTTTTTTTGGGACTCGCGGGCCACGATGGGTTCTAAAATTTGACAGAGGGGCCGGGCCAGGAAACAGATGGATGGAGTGTTTGTGTGAACTTATATATAAATGACGTGTTAGAAATCATTGCATGAAAGGATTTGGCCTCTAACAGGTAGCAAAGCATTTATTTGCAAGGCAATTGAACAAATTGCACGAACGTGAACAATACAAAAAAACGTGTCGTGACTTCCGGTCAAAGTGCGCCATCTAATGGGGGAAATGGGGGCATTACAGGAGAAAGGTTAAATTTAATTTAATAATAATATTTGGACAAGTTCTTTACGAGCGCTGCCGTACACGGCCCGTTGGGCCGTACTTTGCCCATGTCTGTGCTAAACGATGAAAACTCACGCGCGCACAATGACCTGACGTATAGTTCGTAACAGACCGTTGGGGCGAGTGCTGTTAGCGAGCAGCACCTATGAAGGCCGGCACGGCACACTGGGGGGTGGATGGTCAGCACCGCGCCCGGCCGCCTTTGTCTCCCCAGTGGCGATGTTCACGCATCTCACCAGGTACTCATTTGAGGCTGAGTCGATCTAGAGAAGGCCCAGGAGCGGTTGAGACAATCGTCACCGGTGGTGGTGGCCGTGAGTGGGAATCGAACTCGGGTCGCCGGGTTCGCAGCGCAGCGCGCTAACCGCTACACTACCGCTCCCCCCCCCCCCCGCCACATACACACACACACACGTGGATTCTGAAACGCTATCCATGGCGCATTTGTCCTCGTGAAGTATTTAATTAATTTGTAGCGTTCGAGGCAGGCGCACGCCGGAAGCGGCGCGCTCCGTAGACCGTGACAACACCGCGGGGCTCGGATAGCGGCTCTGCCGGGAGGGGGGGCTGGGGGCGGGAATGCGTCCGGTTATTACTCCGGCGCGAGTTCTCAACAGGGGTGCACGTAACTTCACGCTGAAGTTTCGCTCGGATCGAATCGTTTTTTTGCGAGCGCTGCCGTAGTTGCCATGATTGTAAAGCATTAAACGGCAGGGGTTTAAAATATGAAAATTATATCGGCAAAGATTTGTTTTTTTGGCGGCAAAAAAGTGGCGCAATGGGTCAATACGCTTAAGCGAAGTGCGCTACGAACCCGGTGGCCTGGGATTTTAAACCCAACCGAGGCTAACGTCAGTGGCGAGTGATGGTGGTACCCATCCCCCCCCCCCCGACCCCTTCCCCAACATGCGCTCAACAAAAGAACCCCACACCGCGTGTGGCACGTGGTGAAAAATCCCCACGGAAAAAAATCCACGGTCAAAAATCCGCGGTCAAAAATCCGCGGTCAAAAATCCGCGGTCAAAAATCCGCCCACGTCACTTTTGAGGGCACGCCGGCGCTTCAGCTCGTCGCACACTCTGCCGTGCACAGGCCCCTCTCGTCTCGTCCACGCGGCCCCTGCTGCGTCTCTCACACCAGGCTAAATGATGAACCAGGTCGGTGTGCACTCGTGGCTTTGTGCGTGTGTCGCTCGCTGCCTGTGCGGACGGCCGGGTCTTGAAAAAGAAAACGCAAATTTTTTTTTTTTTTAACCGCGCGTGTGCCCAGTTCTTTTTTGAACCGGTGGCTCTGGGCGAAGGCCGAGAGCTATCGCGGACGCGACGCTGCACGCCGCACGCGCGCCCCCGCCGCGTTTCGTTGGCTCCGTCTCACCAGGCTGAGAGCGGCCGCCAGGGTCTTGGCCATGAGCACCGGGGTGCCCAGCACGCCGCCGCACATCGAGATGCTCACGTCCACCGCCAGCAGGAAGCGCCTGCCCGTCGGCTGCACAACCTGGACCGCAAAGGTTCAGGACGACATCGACGATGACATCAACGATGACATCCACAGTGAGATCCGCGATGACATCCAAGATGTCATTGTGGATGTCATTGTGGATATCATTGTTGATGACATACACAATGACATCCGCGATATCATTGCGCGGATGTCATTGTGGATGACATGCACCCACCCCCGCCCCCACCCCACATCCCCCTCCCCCTCCCCGACCTGCATGGAGGAGTAGAAGGTGGCGTCCAGGGCCTGCAGCACCGCCGGGTTGGGCCTCCACTTGAGCCGCCCCTTGCCAGCTTGGCCACGCTCGTAGGTCCTCAACGCCACCAGCACGTGGAATGGGTGCACGCGGGCCTTGTGGTGGGGGGCGGGCGGGCGGGTGGTAGCGGTCACGGGCAATTGGAGACGGGTAGCGTTCCCTCACTTCACTGTCAATGGCTGGTGGTCTGGTGAATTTGTGCGCGTGTGGTTGGGGAGCGGTAGTGTAGTGGCTAGCGCACTGCCCCACGAACCCGGCTATGGCCCGAGTTCAATTCCCGCCCACGGCCAACACCGGTGACGATCATCTGAATCGGTCCTAGGCCTCCTCTAGGTCGACTCAGCCTCAAATGAGTAACCGGTGAGGTGTGTAAACATCGGCACTCAGGAGACAAAGGCGGCCGGGCGTGGTGCTGGCCACCCACCCACTTCGTGCGCCATGCCGGCCTTCATAGGTGCTCAGTTACAGCACTTGCCCCAACAGTCTCTTACAGGCTACACGGGGGATCTCTGCATTTGGAGGGGAGTACAGTCGATGCATCTGCCGGTCATCTCAGTCAGTGAACCCATGGCCCCTGCTGGGTCTGTCCCGTAACGTCCAGCAGTGGATTTTCCTGCATTGCCCTCGCCCACCGCGTAGCGCAGCCCCGCAAATGCCTACGACGTCCTGGCATACACGAGAGTCGTTCATCCAAGCACCGTCTCCCACCGCCGCACTAGCCCCCATCACTCTTCCTCCCTACTACGCCTCCTCGAACCCCATCTATCCGTGCTTCATCGCTCTGCTCCTATCGTGAAGGCGCGGTTTGATTTTGCTGCTTTAAATGTCCACGTGATGAAAAGCCGCTTCGTTGAGCTATCATTTGTGGCCAGGTCGCTTCTGAAAAATAAGTTTACATCTCAGCGAGCTTTACCTGGTAAGATGCAAAATAACTTAGTTGTATTCACAGTGATTTGTCTAACTTTCCTAAACTTTGCACTGCTATCGTGCTTTTCGTGTCATTTGTTGCTGTAACGTTCTGACCCCGTGCCACCTACTGGACATCTGTGAAAAATAGCTCTCATCATATTCTTCCTCCGAGGATAAATACAATAGAGGGACTCCTCTGCTTATGAACGAGTTAGGTTACAGAAGTCTGTTCGTCAGACCAACTTTACTCCTGTCGATTCCAAATGTGTTGTACGGCGTGTACACGAAACACAAGGAATGGCTTAATAAGTTGTATAATCTCGACTTAAAGCTTTCGTGACTGCAGTAATTCATACTCTTTGGGTCTTTCGGTAAAGTCACGTAGAATATTTTAATATTATTTTTCTATCTACGTGACTTTACCGAAAAACCCAAAGAGTTTGTATAATCTCCTGTAGACGTAGATGCCACTGGTTCTTCACGTTCTGCAGATGTAGATGCCACTGGTTCTTCATGTTCTGTAGATGTAGATGCCACTGGTTCTTCACGTTCTACAGATGTAGATGCCACTGGTTCTTCATGTTCTGCAGATGTAGACACCACTGGCTCTTCACGTTCTGCAGATGTAGATGCCAATGGTTCTTCACGTTCTGTAGATGTAGATGCCACTGGTTCTTCATGTTCTGCAGATGTAGATGCCACTGGTTCTTCGTGTTCTGCAGATGTAGATGCCACTGGTTCCTCATGTTCTGCAGATATAAATGCCACTGGTTCTTCACGTTCTGCAGATGTAGATGCCACAGATTCTTCACGTTCTGCAGATGTAGATCCCACTGGTCCTTCACGTTCTGTAGATGTAGATGCCACTGGTTCTTCAGGTTCTGCAGATGTAGATGCCACTGGTTCTTCATGTTCTGCAAATATAGATGCCACTGGTTCTACACGTTCTGCAAATGTAGATGCCACTGGTTCTTCACCTTCTGCAGATGTAGATGCCACTGGTTATTCACGTTCTGCAGATGTAGATGCCACTGGTTATTCACGTTCTGCAGATGTAGATGCCACTGATTCTTAATGTTCTGCAAATGTAGATGCCACTGGTTCTTCACCTTCTGCAGATGTAGATGCCACTGGTTATTCACGTTCTGCAGATGTAGATGCCACTGGTTATTCACGTTCTGCAGATGTAGATGCCACTGATTCTTAATGTTCTGCAGATGTAGATCCCACTGGTTCTTCACCTTCTGCAGATGTAGATGCCACTAGTTATTCACGTTATGTAGATGCCACAGGTTCTTCACGTTCTGTAGATGTAGATGCCACTGGTTCTACACGTTCTACAGATGTAGATGCCACTGGTTCTTCACGGTCTGTAGATGTAGATGCCACTGGTTCTTCACGTTCTGTAGATGTAGATGCCACTGGTTCTTCATGTTCTGCAGATGTAGACACCACTGGCTCTTCACGTTCTACAGATGTAGATGCCAATGGTTCTTCACGTTCTGTAGATGTAGATGCCACTGGTTCTTCATGTTCTGCAGATGTAGATGCCACTGGTTCTTCGTGTTCTGCAGATGTAGATGCCACTGGTTCCTCATGTTCTGCAGATATAAATGCCACTGGTTCTTCACGTTCTGCAGATGTAGATGCCACAGATTCTTCACGTTCTGCAGATGTAGATCCCACTGGTCCTTCACGTTCTGTAGATGTAGATGCCACTGGTTCTTCAGGTTCTGCAGATGTAGATGCCACTGGTTCTTCATGTTCTGCAGATATAGATGCCACTGGTTATTCACGTTCTGCAGATGTAGATGCCACTGGTTCTTCACCTTCTGCAGATGTAGATGCCACTGGTTATTCACGTTCTGCAGATGTAGATGCCACTGGTTCTTCATGTTCTGCAGATATAGATGCCACTGGTTATTCACGTTCTGCAGATGTAGATGCCACTGGTTCTTCACCTTCTGCAGATGTAGATGCCACTGGTTATTCACGTTCTGCAGATGTAGATGCCACTGGTTATTCACGTTCTGCAGATGTAGATGCACTGGTTCTTCACGTTCTGCAGATGTAGATGCCACTGGTTATTCACGTTCTGCAGATGTAGATGCCACTGATTCTTAATGTTCTGCAGATGTAGATGCCACTGGTTCTTCATGTTCTATAAATGTAGATTCCACTCGTTCTTCACGTTCTGCAGATGTAGATGCCACTGGTTCTTCACGTTCTGTAGATGTAGATGCCACTGGTTCTTCACGTTATGTAGATGTAGATGCCACTGGTTCTTCACCTTCTGCAGATGTAGATGCCACTAGTTCTTCACGTTATGTAGATGTAGATGTCACTGGTTCTTCACGTTCTGTAGATGTAGATGCCACTAGTTCTACACGTTCTACAGATGTAGATGCCACTGGTTTTTCACGGTCTGTAGATGTAGATGCCACTGGTTCTTCACGTTCTGTAGATGTAGATGCCACTGGTTCTTCACGTTCTGCAGATGTAGATGCCACTGGTTCTTCACGTTCTGTAGATGTAGATGCCACTGGTTCTTCACGTTCTGTAGATGTAGATGCCACTGGTTCTTCAGTTCTGCAGATGTAGATGCCACTGGTTCTGCACGTTCCACAGATGTAGATGCCACTGGTTCTACACGTTCTGTAGATGTAGATGCCACCACCGCCATCTATTGCACGGCAGTTGAACTTACGACTCTCGGTCCGAACAGGCAACTAGACATACGGACCAGGTTTGTTCGTGTTTCTGAATGTTCCTAAGTCGAATGTCCGTAAGTAAAGGAGTCCCTGAACTCTGATACTGATCTGGACGCGTGTTAATGTCGTCCGTCGAAGCTATGCTAAAAAGTTCTCTCCGGCCATCGGCAAGAAAAGGTTTCCCGCTCCCCTCCCTTGCCCCCGCCTGAATGGTTCCTGGGGGGGAGCGCAGCGTCACACCCAGCGCAGCGTCACACCCAGCGAGGCTCCCCACCCAGCGAGGCTCCCCACCCAGCGTGGCTCCCCACCCAACGTGGCTCCCCACCCAGCGTGGCTCCCCACCCAGCGTGGCTCCCCACCCAGCGAGGCTCCCCACCCAGCGTGGCTCCCCACCCAACGTGGCTCCCCACCCAGCGTGGCTCCCCACCCAGCGTGGCTCCCCACCCAGCGTGGCTCCCCACCCGGTGTGGCTCCCCACCCAGCGTGGCACGGTACCTCGCGCAGCGCGTCGGTCTCCGAGAGCCTCTGGCACACGAGCGCCGTGCCGGCGCTCTCGGGAGCAAGCAGGTCCAGCGCGGCCATCTTGCCCAGGCTCCTCAGCATGGCCGACACCGGCATCTCCTTCAGCAGCACCATCCACACCTGGCATGGACCCCCCACCACCCCAGCACCGTGAACAGAACCCAACACACGAATCTGGCCCCGTGTGCGTACGTTCAACACGTGAAGATAACCACCGCCCGATACGCCGGGGCGTCTCGGAGCACTTCACAACGCAATAGGCGCCTCAACGCATCTGAAACACGGGGCGCCCAATCACCTGCCCACACACACACACACACACCTAATCAACTGCCCACCCACCCGCAACACCCTCATGTCCGCCCACTTGACCGCCCACCCACTCATCCAGCCACCGACCGACCCAAAGCCGACCCAACTCACCCCGCCGCCCACCCAACCATCCGCCCGGCCCGCCCGCCCACACACCCACCCAACCACCGGTCCACCTGCCCACCCACGCACCCACGCACGCACGCACGCACGCACGCACACACACACCCACCAACCCAACAACCAGCCCGCCGAACCGCCCCGCCCGGGCGCGTGCCTCGCTCGCTTCGCCCACCCAACACAGCGCGCCCGCACCGCCCACCTGCGGCGACTTGAGATGCTGGGTAAGCAGATGCTGCCACACCAGGCCGTGCTCGGCCACCAGCACCTCCACCTCCCCGCAGTCGCTGGCCCTGCGCACGCGCTCCACGGCCCTCAGGTAGCGCAGCATCGCGCGCAGCTCCTCGTCTCCGTGGCCGGGTGCCCGCGCTCCGTCTCCTTCCACCGCCGTCGGGCCCAAGCTGTCGCTCGGCCTCTCCTCGCCGCGCTCCTCCTCCTGCTCCTCCTCCTCCCGCTGCCCGCCGCTGGGCGCGAGCGCCGCTTCCGCCTCCGCTGCCTCCGCCGCCTCCGCCGCCTCCGCCGCCCGCGACTTTCTCCCAGCCGTCGTCGACCCCCGGGGGCGAACGGTCGCTGTTCGCGCTGGCGACGTGCGCGTAGGCCTCCCTGGTCGCCTTCCAGCCGCGCGTGACGTACTTCGCCACCAGCTGCACGGCTAAGGGCGTGGGAGGGAGGGTGCGAGCGTGCAAAACGTTGGGGACGACCGGGGCACATTTGGCGTCGGCGCCACGATTGTTTTGACAGTCGTGGGGGGGGGCGAGGGGGAGGGGGGGGAGGGGGGGGGGGTGGTGACGTTGCTGCTGCTGCTCTTGCGCGAAATCCCAATCGAGTATCGTGCCCGTTACCTTGCATTGCGTTTTCTCAGCTACGGGAGGAAACCGGAGGACCCGGAGGAAGCCCACGCAGAAAGGGCGGGAGAGAACACACGGAACTCCACGCCAGGAAGGCGCCCGAGTCGGGGATCGAACCCAGGCGCTGTTTACCGCGGGGGGGAAAAAAAATCGTTCCCGCGCCGGGCCGCCGCCCCCGCCGCCGCCCTCGCGGCGACGGCCGCGAGGGCGGCGGAACGGCAGACCGCAGCTGGAGCCTCACCGGGCGTGGACGGCTTGATGTGCGCCAGACGCAGCAGGTCACGGTGCGCGTAGCCGCAGCGCGACCGGCACACGGTGACGGCGCCGATGAGCGAGCGGCCCGTCTGGCCGTGGTACCAGCGGGACACGGCGCGGCGCTGGGCCCGGCCCCAACGGCCCGCGGCACCACCGCCTCCGCCGCCGCCGCCGCCTCCACCGGCTGCCCGACCTGAGCCACGCAATCACCGAGTCACCGCCGAGGAACCTATGGCCCGGCAGATATTATCCGGCCCACACGGCCTTCATCCAGCAGTGGATCGCCAAAGGCCTGAAAAAGCATTATTTGAAGGTAAAGGTTCAGCCCTGCAATCGCTCACTCACGCCACTGCTGGTGACAGGGACTCCATTGGATGGAGATCCGGACAGCCTTATAGAAGGTGTTTGCCCGACTTTTTCACGTTGCTCAGATGTACGTACGTAGGACGTAGCCAACCGCGCTAATCGTAGGAGCGGGGGAAGGACAACAGTTTAAAAGAAATCAGTTTTCAATTTGCATGACTTGGGAAAAGATACTACACAATCTCTACCCCACCACCACATGCTTTACCCCACCGACTGAGCCGAAGATTTAAGAAACTTGCAACATTCTTTCAACTGGTTGGCGAGGCAGCAGAGAGACGTCTCGCCCTAGTCGACGAGTAGGCCGAGCACCTCTAGAGCCTCCTCGAGGGGAGGACCTTCCACCACCAGCGGAGGCACGAGCGACCAATGGCAAGGGCTGTACCTTTACCCACTGGGCCCCCCTTGCGGACACCCTGCACACTCCATAACTTCCTTCAACACTCAACTCTGGCCACCTTGTCAACGTTCAACAACAACAAGAGCCCCCCCCCCCCCCCCCCGCCGCCGCCCCCCCACCTTTGGCAATCTCGTCGCGGCACTTCACGAACAAGAAGAGCTGTGCCGGGGTGCGGCACACGTCCGGCAAAGCCGCAAACGCCGCCCGCCGGGTCCTCTTCGCGGGTCCCGGCTCCCGGTCCTCCCGGTCCTCCCGGGTCCGCTCTCCGGCAGCGCCAGCTCCCCCGTCTCCCGGCCCCGGGGTTGCCTCCTCCGCGCCGGCGTTCAGCGCCGGCAGGTCCGCCGGATTTGCCGCGACGGTCTCTTCGGCGCTGTCGCGGCCGGCGCAGGAGGAACAGACGGCGAGGGCGAGCGCGGCGGCATCGGCGTTGACCGGGGGCCCGGCGGCGGTTGCCGAGACGATCTCCCGGACGGCCGCCTCGCCCTGCCCGCTCTCGATGAGGTGCCACAGCAGAGCCTGCGCCAGCGACCGCCGGCAGAAATGGGGACAGCGGAAGTTATCCCCGGGCCACGGGTTTCGCTCGTAATTGTGATACAGGGACTCCTCTACTTACGGACATTCGACTTACGAACTTTCAGAGACACGAACAAACCTGGTCCGTATGTCCAGTTGCCTGTTCGGAGCGAGAGTCGTAAGTTCAGCCGCCGCACAATAGATGGTGGTGGCATCTACATCTGTAGAACGTGAAGAACCAGTGGCATCTACATCTACAGAACGTGAAGAACCAGTGGCATCTACATCTGCAGAACGTGAAGAACCAGTGGCATCTACATCTGCAGAACGTGAAGAACCAGTGGCATCTACATCTACAGAACGTGAAGAACCAGTGGCATCTACATCTACAGAACGTGAAGAACCAGTGGCATCTACATCTACAGAACGTGAAGAACCAGTGGCATCCACATCTGTAGAACGTGAAGAACCATTGGCATCTACATCTACAGAACGTGAAGAACCAGTGGCATCCACATCTGCAGAACGTGAAGAACCAGTGGCATCTACGTCTACAGGAGATTATACAACTTTTAAAGCCATTCCCCGTGTTTAGTGTACATGCCATACAACACGTTTGGAATCGACAGAAGTAAAGTTGGACTTAACAAATCGACTTACGAACAGATCTCTGGAACCTAACTCGTTTGTGTTGTGCCTTGCAAGAGAGCACTAGGCCTAGGTGCTCTTCATGCACGAGACGCACCTGTCATCAAATGAAGACGATGATTTGGGGAACTGCCTGGCAAGGGGATGTCTTTTTCAGTCACCTTTCGCACACTCCTTCTAGGGTGGCAACGTTGATTGCACCTGGGTTTACACGCCCACCATTGTTGACCAAACTGAAGTGGTTGACGGAAGGGCCCCTTATTGTTAAAATCGAACTAAAGGACATTACCGTCCACCTCATCAACGTCCATGCACCAATCGATGATGCAGAAACACTTTTTTTTTCTTTCTACGCATCGCAGAGGCACCTCGCGAACATTCCAAATGACGTGTGCGTGATTTCAGGGGGCGACTATAATTGCACACCGGATGTCCTCGACCGCACTGGCACTGAACAACGCAAAAGCGACGTCTTGAATGCCCTGCAAGATCTGCGTCGCAAATATGCCCTGATCGGTGTGTGGCGGACACAACATCCTCGGCAGCAAGGCTTTACCTTCACGAGAGTCCAAGCTGACAGCACAGTGTCGCAATCAAGGATTTACCGTTTTTGCATCTCAAAAGACCTTGAAAATAGCGCAGTTTCGTCCAGTATTCAGGCTGCACCGCTGGGAGATCATCAATTCAAGGAGTCCCACGGAGATCAGCATACTGGCATTTTAATAACGCCCTTTTTGGAAGATGCCATCTTCGGCAAATCTCTTCGAGATATTCTGGGAGGAGTGGCAAGGAAAAATAAACATTTGTAATAACCTCGGCCAATGGTGGAATATAGGGAAGATACACGTAAAAAAAAAACTGTGCTAGTCGTATGCCTGGGGAAGTACCCACCTAATGTACCAGGACATTTCCCGAACAGGGCCCATAACACAGAGCAACAGGAAGTGATGGAATGACGGGAGGATTGATGGAATGACGGGAGAATGTTATCGGTATTTTGTTGGCACTCCCTGCGGGAAGACTACAAAGCAGTTCTAGATGAAGCAGCGGAGACTTACATGATGCCTCAGTCTTGAAGGGGAGCCGTGCTTACACTGCTTCCAAAAAAAAATGACCTTAGACACCTGAAAAACTGGCGTCCGGTCTCAGTGTTTGTGCACAGATTATAAGATTCTAGCTAAGGCTGTGTCTGCGAGGCTTAAAAGGGTGTTGGCTCAGGTTATTACACTGTTCCAGGGAGGACCGTTCACGATGGGATTGTCTGAGTCAGAGAACTCATCACTGCCTGAACATTTGGACTCTCTGCTCGCTTTACTCTCCCTTGAGCTAGAGAAAGCTTTTGACAGGGTCTGACCGCGGTTCTTTGCTCGGCACTCTAAAAGCTTTTGGATTTGGAGCAAACGTCACACAATTAATCCACTTGCTTTATAACATGGCCCAGTGTCTAGTCAAAGTTAACGGTGCACGAACCGCTCCAATAAACTTCAGAAGAGGAATCTGACAAGGCTGCCCTACGTCAGGGCAGCTCTCCGTCTATTACAATAAAGACTCGTCGGCTAACTCTTAAAGAGTCCAAAATGAAAGTGACTCTTGCAGAATACGCTGACGTCTTTCTCCTCTTCTTACAAAGCCTTTGACGATATTGAACGGCTATGCGATTGCCATGGAGGTATATTGTCTTGCGACCTCCTCCAGGATGAATTGTGAGAAATGCAACGGGCTAATCGTGTGGGGAAGTGGGACGAGGCCCCATTTTCCCCCCGAGTTGGCCAACGCCATCGTATGGAGCAAGGGATGCCTTCGACATCTTGGCGTGCTCCTGGGGCCTGGAGAGAGGCCACTCCAGAGAAACTGGGATCTTTTGGAAGGGTGTGGAAACGACTGGTAAACCTTGGGGGGGCCGCCTACGTAAAACCCTCACGTTCAGAGGCAAAAAAACCCTGGCAGTGAATCAGTTTGCTTGAGTCCGCATTGTGGCACCGCTTTTGTTCCCTCACTCCGCCCGTTCACTTGATCGCCAAGCTTCAGAGGACGACAGCGAATGTCTTTTGCCACTGCGGGGAGGCGGGCAAGGTCTAACATGCGTACGGAGTCAACTGTCCACCTTCTGCTTGCAAGCCGTGCAATGGTTTCTGTACGCAGCCCCACCACCCAAGTAGTATTTCACAGAACCTCTTTTTCTAAGTAATCTGGGGGCGGGGGGGGGGGGGCTGCAGTGCAGCAAACAACTCGTCTATATGAACATTACGGGTGTGCCGCTCGCTAAAGTGGATTCCCCATTTCTAGAAACCAGGGATTTCCTCGTCACTACCCGGGTGAATAAACCCCAGTCAGCATCGGACCGTGCTCTCGAACCGCTGTTGCGGAATCCTTACATGCGACTTCCCTCCCTTGTGGGCTTAGCTATAGAGAAGCGGTACGGACGATGCGCGTCTCACCAGGGTAGGCGATCTGGTGGAACCAGGCACGCACGGTCAGTGGCTTCTCCCGACTGAGATGGCTGCAATGACGGGACTGCATTCAATAATGATTGAAACAGATGCCCATCAGCATGTACATTGTAAAAGCCTAGGCTCGCTTTTTAAGCTCCTACGCAATATCTTACTGAAATGTAAACTTTTACTGGTAGGAACCTCTGGTTACACCAGCCCAAAGGGGATTAATGTGTCCGTCCGTCCGTCGTGCATCCAAAAATGGGAGGGGTGGGGCTGGGTGGAGAGGAGAGGGTGGGGAGGGGGCTGGGTGGGAAAGGGAGGGGCTGGGTGGGGAGGGGAGGGTGGGGAGGGTGGGGAGGGGCTGGGTAGGGAGGGTGGGGGCTGGGTGGGGAGGGGAGGGTGGGGAGGGGCTGGGGTGGGGAGGGTGGGGAGGGGCTGGGTGGGGAGGGTGGGGAGGGGCTGGTCACCCCGTGGTGCCCTTATAAAACTCAACGTTTAACTTACTCACGCCGGCTTGTGCCCGTCCTCACAGTCGGGCATACTTACGGAATACACCACGTGGTGGTGCCGCCGCTGTTGACCCTGGCCATTGACCGAGCAACCCAACGTTCCTACCAGCTCCCTCCGCAGGAGAATGTGTTCTGCCCTAACGATTATTATTATTATCGGACATAAGGAGAATAAAGACACCATAGGTATAGAGGGCTTGGTGAACGTCGTCACAAACAACACGAAATTGGTGATCTATAGGGCAGCCACTGTCGCATAACCAATGCCCTGGTTTCTGCCAGAATTTGGCTGGGACGTCGGTGTGCGAAGTTGATGAGGCGGTGTCGCATCCTTTTTGACACGTTGGGCTCCACAGGATGCTCTGTGCAATGTGACTGACGGAGGGAATCTCGTAATGAGTTTTTGAAGGTGATTTTTTGTGTTTGTGTCTGTGAACACAGTAGCACACAATGGGACCTATGTTACATTGGAAAAGGTGTAAATGTTATATTTTTTGTGTAAAAAAGGCCATAAAAGACAAAAAAAATGTACACAAAAACGACATGATGAACAAAGCGAAGTGCCGAATAACCAATCCAGATTTGAAGTTTTCGTGACTGCAGGGATCCGTACTCTTTGGTTCTTTCGGTAAAGTCACGTGGGTAGAACAATAAAAAATAACATGAATCACAATTCATGATTTAATTTATTTCATTTTTATACCTACGTGACTTTGCCGAAACAACCGAGCAACTTTTCCCTTCTTCTGATCGTAATAAAAAAGGAAGGAGGGAGGGAAGGAGGTCAAAGACCCCTCCCGCTGCACATGCACAATCGGCTGGTGGATGAGAGGCCTCCCCACGCCGTGCTCATTGCCCCACAGGCACGTCACCTGAGCGTGCTCCTTAGATGGCGGATCCACGCACGCACGGTAAACGCCGCCCTCCGAGCCGAAGCAGAGGAAGCGGCGCAGGCGAGTGAGGTCGCTCACTCCCCAGCTCACGGGGCAGGAAGAACGTGCGGGATCCATGCGGCTGCCTGCTGAGAAGTGGGCGGGGGGCGGGGGGCGGATGGAGGAAATTGCGCTTTATTAACAGCCCAAAATCAAAGGGCAGCCCATGACCAAATTAGCCGGCAATGCACACAATCTCGTCAGATCTCGGAAGCTGAGCAGGCGTGTGCCTGCTTAGTACGTGGATGAAAGGCTGCCTGGGAATATCGTGTGATGTAGTCTTGGCCTGCAAGGTGGCCAGGAGATAGCAGGGCAGAAAGGGACGACATTTATATCCATCTGTGTGGATGTTCATTCAAGTTTTTGCCCCTGCTATGTGCGGGGGCTTTGTCCGCGCGCTCCCATTTCCTCAGACACGGAGCCAAGCTCTCATTCCATGGGATTGGCCGCACATCGCAATGTGGCAGCAGCCTTAGCGATGCTTTTTTTTTCCCTGGACAAAGGGCATTATTCATTTCTGAGAGAAGCCACAAATTATGCCTCCTTTTTTTTATTTGAACGGATGCAAAAATGACACAACATTCACTCGTGAAAATCTCATTAAGGCATGGCTGTTTTTCAACACGGTTCCCCATCATTCTCTCATCGCCCGTGCCAATATGGAACCAGGCCCCCGCTTCTCGTGGCCATGGGGCGTGTAAATATTAAGCCGCAGGCGGTACGGAGTGAAGTCTCGCGCCATGTGAAGTGAAGTCATCGTATTAAAAGTCAGGAGCGTATAGAAATTAAGTTGCGGTTACCACACGGCCCAGCGGCTAGCGGGTTCAACACCCCTGGTTTATGCTCACAACAATGACCCTCGGCCGATCTACCAACCCTTTAAATTTTTCAAAGCGCTGAGTCGCAGGCATGTACAGTGAGCCACACACACCCGGCTCTTATGATTATATTAATATCTGCTGAGCCATTCACAATCCCAAGAGTGACCATAACGGACGTGAGAGCCTGGTTACTAGGGTTCAATCCCCAGCTATACCATGTGAGATATATCATAGCCTCAGGTACCTTTCCCTAGACACACGATGGTGTGTTCCCAATGAGAGTTCCCAATGCACATGTTCTTAGTCCAATGACTTTATACCGACGGTAGAAAATAGATGTTGGAGAAATATGTTTGAACAAAGGTACATATCCTATATCCCCCTGCAAGGGAATGGAAATGTCAAATTACTCCGCACAAACTGGACACACGTATGTAAGTATTTGGCTACTATACATTTCCACGAGATTAAGCAACTTCGTTGAGCTAACATTTGTTGCCAGGTCGCTTCTGAAAAGAAGAGCAACATAGCTCAGTGGGCCTTACCTGGTAAAATAAAATAAAAATGTTGATAGTTCAGTTTACTTAAAGCAAGGCCGTAAATATAATATATATTGGGGGGGGGGACACATCCCCCCCCCCAATATTGAAAATTGCTCAAAATGTCCCCCCCCCCCCAATATATTCCTATAAAAATATATATTGCTATGCTACGTAAATAAAAACAACAATTTGCTAAACCTTGACCACAATATCTGGACTTGTATTCATATAAATCAATGCATAGATTTCTGTTTATATGATTGTGGTTATGGTTGTACTTTATTAACTGCTAATCTCTGCCATTACATACAATGAAACAAGAAAAGGCAAAAAAGTAAAAACAGAGCAATGTAATACAATATACACTATTAGACATTATTGTAAACAATACATACAAAGTCCATCCCACGTGTTAGTGATTTTTTTATATTTTAGGCAGGAAATTAATTTTCAAATGTACATTTTTTTTTCTGGGTTGGGACCCCCAGACACCCTGGAAGATTTGGGTACCCCCCAATGTTGACTCCATGGCTACGGCCTTGACTGAAAGTGCAAACTGATTTCAATACTTTATGGCCAAATGCTTGACTGCACTGTAGAAGTGAATGCACGCCAGATTCAAGAATAAACGGCTGTGTGTGGAAGAGTAGGCCAAACACCCTCTCTAGAAGGGCTCTAACGGAGACCCTTCTGTCTAGCAGTGGCATGAAGGAGACGTCACAAGGCTGCGCGTTTTCCTGCGTGTCAATGAAAACACCACCGGTGACGAATACCCAAACCGGTCCCGGACCTCCCTGAGGTCGACTCAGCCTCAAATGAGTACCCGGTGCGGTGTGTAGTAAACATCGCCGCTGGGGAGACAAAGGCGGCCGGGCGTGGTGCTGGCCACCCAACCCCCTCGTGTGCGGTGCCGCCCTTCATGGGTGCTGCTCGCTGACAGCGCTTGCCCCAACAGTCTGTTTCGAGGCTTAACGGGGAATCGTTTGTCCCTTGAGTCTGTACGGAATGGCCAGGGGGCGACACACCAGTGGCGCTGGTGGCGTGAGGACGGCGAAGTGGTCAGGGCGGATGTGCGATGGTCGGATGCGTTGCGTGGTTGTTATCCACGGGGTGAACCGCGTGGGGGTTTGGTGTATATCCGCTTGGGAGTGTTCAACGTTCAACAATATCAGGGGTGGGGAACGTCCGGCCATCATTTGGGTCTGGGCCCTGCCAAGGCAACCGCAGGCGGGACTCGAAATTCAATAAATCTAGGTAGAGCAAACCTGGAAAAGCAGTTGCGAGTAGCTGCAACATCGTCAATAGCGGCAAACATTGCCACACGCCTCGCCAAAGAGGAGCAGTTCCAGCCCATCGCATTAGGGGCGAGTTCATTAAATGTTGACCAAATATAACGGGCTATTTTAAGTTGATAATTTTGTATGGCCCGCGAATGACGTTATAAAGGGGCCGTCCATAAATGACGTCACGCACCTGGGGGGGGGGGGGGAGGGGTCAGACATTCGTGACGATATGTGACGAGGGGGGGGGTTTGAGAAATGTGACGTCACATCAAAATGCGCAACTTTAAATATAGACAACACGTTCTACTTAATTAAATAGACTTTAAATTTTGATTTAAAAGCTTTCGTGACTGCAGTAATTCATATTCTTAGTTCTTTCGGTAAAGTATTTTGTTGTTTCCCTTCAACGTGACTTTACCGAAAGAACTAAGAATATAAATAGACTTTTTAATAAATGTTTTCTCCTACAACATCAGAGTGCAGCGCCACATTGAATACGCACTACAATGACAATAGTTTAAAGCGATTTGAAGCGTGTTTTATTTTAAAAATGGAAATATGGTTTTGGGTTTTGGGGGGGGCAGAGCTTTGTGACGTCATATTTGAGGGGGGGGGTCTGACTTTTTGTGACGCCGAGCGCCGGGAGGGGGAGGTCAAAAATCGTCCAAAATCGCGTGACATCATTTATGGACGGCCCCAAATATCCAAATGGTCCTTGGCAGAAAAAAGGTTCCCCACCCCGTGGTGGGGGGGGGGGAGAAGGGAAGGTAAGTGCGGTGGCCACGATCGCTGCAAACCAACCCGATGGGTCATAGGCGGAGTTTGCGATAATTGGGGGGGGGGGGGAGAGGGGCTCGCTTTGTCACTCACGTTTGGACATCGCGGGTGCATTCTAATTAAAATAAAAAGATCCTTAATTGTAAACGAGTGAACATACTGAACACTGACCCTGGGCACGTCCACCACCAAAGACAAAGACCCACCCCCCCCATAGCCTGTAACAGACTGTAGGGGCAAGTGCTGTTAGCTTGCAGCAGCAGCAACAACACCTATGAAGACGGCACGGCACACGAGGGGGTTGGTGGCCAACACCACGCCCGGCCGCCTTTGTCTCCCCAGTGGCAAAGTTTACACATCGCACCAAGTACTCATTTGAGGCTGAGTCGACATAGGGGAGGCCCAGGTCCGGTTCAGATAACCGTCACTGGTTTTGGCCGTGAGCGGGAATCGAACCCGGGTCGCCAGGTTCGTAGCGAAGCGCGCTAACAGCTGCACTACAACAACAACAACCGCCATTCGCCACTAAGTGGCGGTGACGTCACCACAACGTTTGTGCCAGGCTATGTGCACCTTGAGGCCACGTGAAGTGTCGAATGCCCACTGGCAGGAGGTCACGGGGCAGACCCAGGTGCCACGGGTCAATTGACTAAGATGACTGGCTGATGCACCACCTATGCCCCCTACTGTGCCAGGTTGCTGTGCTTTAGCCACCCAGCGCTCCGCTCGTTGCTGTGAGCGTTGCTCCTCCGCCCTCCGTTGTTGTTGGAGGGTGACTTCCTCCAACTGCCCAGTAGAGTCCTTCACGAGCCTCCTCCACAGAGGTGGATCTTGACACCGCTGGTACCAGTCATCGGCAAGTACACTCAGCTCCACACTCTCCTGTACCACATCACTCCATCTCTTCTCTAGCCCGTGCCACGCCCGTTTAGCCCCCTTGATCCGGCCGAACAAAAGCTGTTTAGGCATGCAGTGGTTAGGCATGCGGGCTACATGACCCAGTCAACACAGCTTTGCCTGTTGGAAGAGCTCATCGATGGGACTTTGTCCACATCTTTCAAGGATTTGTGAGCTCCTCACACAATCCAGCCTGGTTAAACCCAGGATGGATCGTAGGCAGGATAGCCTAAATGTTTCTAACCGGCGAAAATGTTCCATTAGGAGGGGTCCACATTTTGCAAGCGTAGAGAAGGGAGGGAATGACCGTGGCCGAAAAGACCCGAAGCTTTGTGTGGGGCGAAGGACCAGGTAGCTTCCACACAGTGTTACGCAACCGATGAAAAGATAATGCCCCTCGACTGATTCAGGGTGAGACCTCTGCTGTTAAACTGGAGCCGGTCATAAGCACACTGCCCAGTTATGGGAAACTCTCCACTCTCTCCACAACTGCCCCATCACCGATTGAGAGTTGTGGGGGTTGAGTGTCCGATGGTACAAAATACCCAGGCAGGTGCTTAGTTTTGGTGGGGCTGATGGTAAGGCCCCATCTCTTAATGGCACGCTCCAGTCTCAGCAGCAGCGTCTCCAACTCCTCCTCTGAATGAGCAGCTATTACCAAATCATCGGCATACATAACATGGTTGAGCAATAGGGAGCCATCCCTTGACTGCACCCGGGCATCGATGAGCCTCCCATTATATCTGTACCAAATGGAGATTTCCCCAGT